GAATAAGCAGTGAATGGAAGAATGCGGTACGACTAATCAGTTACCTGGCTGTTCATTTAAGAAGTGTTTCTCAGTCGACAAGAATGATCTTTGCTTGATTCTATCATTGGAGTTGAATGGTGATCTCAAATAAATTTCTCACTGACGAATATGTCTGGAATTTTGTTGATTAGCGCGATTGAGAACATCATTGGTGTTCAGATAACAATTTCAAAATATTCAAATTTTCCTCCATATAATCAAATTGAATGTGAACCATATAATTATGATAATGATGAGAGAAATTTTCTTCATGAACGAACGCATTTTACTTGCAATCGACGTAACGTTCGTTGTGGCTAGTAAAAGTTGGTAAACTGAAACGTACTATGTGGACATTTAAAAATGGAATCGTTGTTTGTCTTAAGAAAAGAAAAAAGATGCAAAAAGATCGTAATCGAGAAAAAATTTCTTCATATTGTGAGTAATTAAAAATTAATGCTGTTATGGATCAACCACTTGGAAAATGAAAAGTCAGTATGCGTTTTTTTAATGGATGAGAAGGAAATATTATCTTCTATCAAAAGGTCGTATCGCTAGTGAGAGCGAAAATACTGAGAGTCTTAGGAGATGAAAAAAGTTTAAAAATTGATATCGAGTGTGTATGCATAACTTTATTGAAAGTTGATCGGTTGAGCAATAGCTTATTGATTCATATTTGTAGCACTCGTTATGTCAACTGGTACCGCTCGTTGCAAATTCGAGTCACTTCTTGCATTATCCACCCATAAGCAAAATGCATATAAATTACCGATTACTGAGCTGTTCTCCTCAGTGAACCTATCACAGTTATTTGTTCTTCCCTCATTGACCAAAACTAGCGCACATCACTGACTGATTATGTGGTCATTTGTTGATTTCGGTTGCACGGTAAGCTTTACTGTTCTTAGTGTGATCATTGTTGCACTTTTTGGTACTGCCATAAATTGATCATTTTGTTTCAAACATTCACTGTTTTATCAAAACATGAGTTGGATCAACACAATCAAATTTATATTGTCTTCTGTTCAGCATTCCCTACGGCTACTGGTAGTGTTTTTAACGATGCAAAGCTGTGTATTATCGTTTGACGGTTGCATGAATGTTGAATGTGCTGCGAATGAGTGGTGTGATCCAAGTATGGGTGGTGTTTGTCGAGAACGGTTATCCACGACAGTATTTGACATTGGGGTGCTGAAGGAAGATGTTTGTAAGAAGGTGACTTGTGCGGATGGTATGGAATGTGATATTGTTTCTGGTGACTGCGTCAAACTGAACGCATTGTATAAGTGCTACAACGTCAGTTGTCCCTCTGGTGAGGGTTGTGACTGGAATACGGGACGTTGTGTTTTATTTCGAAAACCGTTCGGTCGAACTCCTCGTTCCAATCAAGTAACGCCGTTGTCAACATTAAATGATCACTCCGATGAAATTACTAATTTGACGTTCGTTGTCACTGATGCTAGGAATGAGCAAATTCGGTGCACTAATAATTTTATTTGTCCTAGTGAAATGGAATGTGATCAACGCATCGGGATTTGCAGGTTGAGTAGCTCTATATCTCATTATTTCTTCGCATTTTAGACATTGAGATTCGTTTAGACATTTATTTACTTACAACACGTAGCTATTGACCTTATATGATTTTGTGAAAACATAGTAAATAAAAATTTTGTTGTCTTTCATTAGATTAAAGCATAAATTTTTTAACTGAATTCATTTTTCCACTTGAAGAACTAAATTTCAAATATACTTTTGCAGAAAAATGAATCGCTCCGAATCATCCATAGTAAATGCAGTATCAGCAGGGAACCTATGCTCATTTGTGCAGTGTCCAAATGGTTTTGAATGTAATTCCTCAACTGGTAAGCATTCTCAACTTGATGGATTAGCTAACAGTTTGCGTGCTCGCATTACTCTTTATGAATGCATAAAACTATCTGTTTAATGGCGTTCATATCTCAGGATCATGTCATCGTTCACGTCAGTTCAAACGACTTTTGCCGCGACCATCTGTATGTCCACCAGGCAGTCATTATGTGGATTGTGGCTCAGCGTGTCCAGCAACGTGCTCAAATTTACGGCGTCAGTGCTCAGCCGCATGTGTTAGCACGTGTGAATGTGACGAAAGTTTAATTCAATTAAGTTTGACAAATCTCACTTGTATACCACATGGGCAGTGTCGAATTGGTAATCGGAACAGTAGGTTTTTGTTTTTAAATTGAACATTACTGAACAGATGAATGCGCGTGCAACATTAATCATCGGCCAGCAAATAGATAGTAGAAATTTAGCGATTTCCATGTTTACTCTATTTGAATATTTTCGGTCATCAACTGCTTTGATAATACTTGAATTAGTATTCAAATTTTCACTTTCATACACAAGATGTATGGTTTTGATTTGATTGCAGTGTGCAGAAATTTGAAATGCCCTGAAGGTATGATCTGCATGGATGGTTACTGCAACCCGGTGAATTGTGAAAAATTGCTGAAACCAGGTCTACCGAAAGGCTGTGAATATGAGCTGAGCCGTGATAAACGAAACTGCTTAGTATTCGATATCATTTGTTGAACTACTTTGTGTTGCATGCTACGCCAGCAACTACAAAACAACTAATGGGAATATGTCAAATCGTCCTTGCAATCGTCATTATAATTGATCAATTTGGACGACTAATCTGAGCGAATATGTCATAATGAAACGCGTAAATTATTAATAATAATCTTTAATAAATGTATTATAATATGTTTATACTAATGGTTATAATGCTTCTCCCTTTCTCACAATTAATGAAGTAACCTGTGACATTTTATTGACCACATGATACCGTACAATGGTTTATTGGAGTAATATCAAATGTTTTACTGAATTAATTCAACACGGTGCGTCACAATAATGGTAACAACTGTTCACAGTTCTATAACTTGATGTTTTCGGAAGCGTTCGTGCATGTTCAAATATGTCTTGTTACAAGTGCATTCACCTTTAAGTGTTTTTATCAGTTGGGAATCACGGGACGATTCTGAATAACTCGTAAAACGTCTCTTGCTAAGAGAAACAGTTTTGTTGAGTTTGGTACGATGGAAATCGTAAATGAAGCGGACAGAAAACGACCTTAGATGTGTGCCAAGAGTTGTCATTGTTATCAGAAAGACAGTGAGTCTGAACCGGTAGAAATCGATGGCGAAATCGCTTGAAATAAATGAATCGATTATGAACGACCATTAAGAGCTTTTCGTTTAACAGCTACAGAAAATCCAATTATTATCAGATTGTGTTTGTAAAGCCAGCGTGAAAAAGGTTCAAAAAATCAAAAATGAATTGTGATCGGGCTGATCAAGAAAGTTGTTTTTTGTGATGTGATTTTTTTAGAGCCACATAGAACATTAAGGTTTCGTTAACATCTAAAGACATTACAAGACCACAGCAGCATATGGTATCCCATTCCCTAAATGGTGCTGGGAACTGTGTGCACAACAGGCAAATTACCTTTAGTTCTTATTGAAAAAGGCACTCAAATAATCAGCCAATAACGCATAGAGCATTTTATCAAACCAATAACATTTGAATGGGGAGCAATGAATATTTCAGTGCGAACGAGCATTATCTTTAAGATCAAAGGTCATTGTGAAAGCGTGCAACACTTGGAGGTATTTGGCCATCATGCTCACAGGATTTGAATCCACTCGAAGGTGTGTGGTAACTTGAATATGAATATCATCTGGGGAGTGTTACAGGACAATGCTACGCACTGGATGAACTAACGAAACATCTGTTGATTGCTTGAGAACAAATTGCTCAGCAGACCCCTTGCTGCTATCGTTAATAATTTTTAGAAACATGTCAACGAGCATACTGTAAGCACGAGACGGTAAACAGAGGTGTGATTGTAGTGTGAATCCGTAATAAGATTTTGACAAAGATATATTTAGTTTCTGAAGATTTATACATGATCATCCGTTTTACCATAATTATGACGTACCCTGACTAAAGTGCTTCTGATCGAGACATTTTCCTTCTTACGTGATACTTCTGGGTTGATCATAGACGACGATAAATGCCAAGTGTTCGATGACAAGCCGGACAGCTATGCACAACATCCTGAAACAAGTTGATCATAGACGAAACAAGAAGATACATAGGCTATATATTTGTCAAAGAGATTATGACAAGTCCAGTGCTCCATCACAGGTTGCATCACATCCGAACATTTTCCCACAAATATCCTGTGAGATCGATCATTCGATTTAGCAACTCTTCATTCATTTCATTATATCCTGAGGTAGTACTATCAGCCCCTCGTCCAATCCAGTGATGACCGTTGTTTCGAAACATAAGAGGCGAGGGACTTCTCCATCCGAATGGAATGTGTATGAGGTATTATCGTCTGTTGTGATTTCGCTTATCAGTGATAAGCGTAGACTTGAATGTAAACGTGTAATATATGAGTATTGTGTTTATTGAGTCGATTGTCGTACATACTACTATTGAAGTGCATAAATGAAAAGTAATCTTGTGATGTTGTTAGCATGCACACTCATCAACATGCATCCAAACTATTTTGTTGATGTTGTTAAATGAGATGTGAACGGGAAGTATGAGTATTTTTATACTTATGTATGTAACTTGCAAACGATGGACAAAACGCAGTTATCAGGACGGCTTCATTCGGTCATATATTTAGTGGAAGTATCTTTGATGTAATTGACGAGAAGTGATGATTTCCTTGTTTGTTCTGAAACAGCAACAAGGGAATATGAACGAACCTGACAAGAGTCCATACAGAACGGAACTGCACAGCACAAAAAGCATCTGAAAATTCCACTGTTGCTCTCAGTTCTTACTAGTTCATTGAATGAGAATTTGATTGATAGAATGTTTGATGGAAACTGATTGTTCGTAATTTTTCATTGTTCAATGGTGATGATTATTTGCAGTAATCAATAAGATGTTTTAAGCATAAAAACATTTGAAAGAGATTAATTATAGAGTATGAGACATGTGAAAGGAATGAACCCAAATAAGGCAAGGCCACCGCAAAGGAGCCACGTTAAGAGGCCAGCTTGATAAGTCGTTTTAGTGAGAATATCGGCATTGCAATACCGACAGCACATTCTAATCGGAAATTCGCCGTACACCAACGTATTCACATATACTGTCGTTGCAGGTGGTGGTGGCGCTGATGTTGTGGTTGTGTTGGCTGCGGTAGCTGCGGCATCTTCAAATTCATTTTCAGGTTATTATGATAATGAATTGCGTTCGTCGTTTCAGTGGTAAATAAAAATGATCGCTTACAGTTTGGCGCTGATGGCTCATTCCCTGGCCGTTGCTCAGATGCAGGACGCTGTTGATAAGTAACCTCACATTCTTTCACAGTATTCATGTTATTGGCGGCGTATGGACTGGTCACGGCTAAAATAAATGCAATCGCTTTTCAATTTGTATGTTACGAGGTGAAAATGAGTGTAAACGTATTCATGCACGCATAATTTTCAACCTTGATGAACAAACCATTCATTCACTACCGTGTCCAGCTTAAGGTTGTTTAGAGGTAATTGCTTGTTTTCTACATCTGTATTGTTGCGAAGATAACCTTACCTACTTGCTCATTTAGTTATTATTCGGACCACTGAAAACTGGAGAAAATTGCCAGCTGAACTGCTGAGCATAAGTACTATTGAAAAGAGTAAAAATTGAAAAATTTCATTCACCATCATATGCGGGCGGTGGTTCAGCCATCTTCGTTATTACAGTTTACGAAGAAGGGAAACTTTTGATTCGATAACAGTGTCGATGAGATTGTGTGGAACACAGACGAATAAGGTATGGCAAGGACAATGAACCTGATATAGGTGACTGTGATAAATAAAATGATAAGTGCTTATCAGTACTTAGAAGTGGACTGATTTTTATTCAGAATTGAATGACGAATTCAAAACACTGATTCATCAATTCAAACAATTGGTGTTTGTCCGCTCTTTTTACGATGTGCAATACAGCTGAATGAATGAATGCGATCAGGCATGCATTCACCGATTGAACAAAGCTCAGTTGAATGCTACACGTAATAAAATCCTAAAAACACTCCATGATTATATTCGAAATGCATCATATCAGTGACATCATTATTTATTATATTCAAAATGGTTCGTATCGGTAAAACTGACACCATGGACTATATGACCATGTACGTAATACACAACTACAATTTCATATTCTAGTGCTACTATACGAAGACATAAATTGCTGGTTACCATGCCAACCAACGAAAATTGATACATGAATTATATGAACGAATAGAGATATGTTTACGTAAGTGTTCAGAGGTAATCTGGATAAATTTGTGCGTGAATCAGTCAATGAATGATAAGTCAGAGAACTTGCTATATTTATTCCTTTAATCGAAATCACCAAATTGACAACATTCACAATATCAGATATCCTCCTCCTTTTATATGCCTGCCATAAACAAAATATAAACATTTTGTCGCTCAGCATTTCAAGCCAAACAGAAACAAATGAATTTCTTATGACTGATCATAACGGAACTGCAAAAATTTTTGTGTGCTCAGTCGATCAAGCAGCAATCTGTTGTGCAAATAAAAAGAAAGCAATGAATCTAAGGTGATCAAACGACTCGATCAATGAAAGTGAAATGGCCATGGTATGCCACGAAATCATCATCATGAATTGTTGACATTTGGTTTTGGGTTGTTGCGTTCGAAATTATTAAATGATTCATGCTCAACTGAGCAGTAGAAAACAACAACAAAAGTAATACAATTACCAATAGTGATTGATAATATTGATTACGATAATGATAATGACAATTCGAGCTCTAACAGTAATAACAATTTGTCCGTAATTTGAATATCGCTTATTTTCAAATTATTTGAAAGCACAAACGATTGACTGAATAATTAAATGATTAAACAGATGAATAAATGAACAAATTTTTGAGTTTGACCATGGTTTTTTCGTGGAACAAGTGAATGAAAGCACCAAATCAAATTCTATCAGTAAGCAACAATTTGGTTCAGAGAAAATACTTTTTTGAATTGGATCGAATAATCAGTAAGCAGTTTGTTGTGATCTTTCGTGACTGTGTTTCTTTATACGGGCGCGCAACTTTTAAACGAGCGATTTAAAAGATTATGACGATGTGCGACGGTTTAAACGAGAGTAACATTTTCGCAATAATGACGATTATAAGTATGAAAATTGTGATGAATAATGATCACCTTGTGGATGCGAACAGAGGAGAGTAGTGTTCGTGGGAACAGGGACCCCGTAGGGGTACCCGATGGGGAACCTGGGGAGTGCTTCCCCGCGCAATTTACTCCCCGACTTTTTAGACGGGAATCTCCCTCTCCATCCAGTTTTCTCCCCGCGCGGCTACCCCCGGGCGATCCTCTCCGCAATTTTTTTCCCAGGGAACCCTCCCCGTCCAGTTTTCTCCCCGACGGGGAGGACGGGGAGTTCTTCGCACCTTTGCGAACAATCAACCCAAAATAGCGAAATACCGCTGATAATGATTCGCGCTTGCTTTTATTTTATTGATAATGATTCGTTATAGTTTTTATTTTATTGTAGTGAGTAGAATGTTTGGGCTTGAATTCGTTGTAGTAGTGGTGACGACGGGTATTGTTGATTTTAGGAGATTAGTTGATGTCCCCGGATTGGAACGAGACGGGGACACACTTGAGTTTGGTTGAGTTGAGAGTTGGCGAACAAACGAAAGTGACTGATTGCGATCAAGAAAAAATAATGCTAGCAAAAATGTTATGTTGAGGTATTGGATTATTGGGGGTGTGAGTTAGTGTAAAAGTGATACGATGTTGGAGATAATAAGATAGAATGAAACTGATAAAATAGAGATGTTAATAAAAGAAAACCAATGTTGTTGTTTTTATTTTATCGATATTGAATTGCGCTTGGTTTTTTTTCAACAAATGTGAATTAGAACAAGCAACATTGTGAGGTTTTTAAATGGTAGCAAAATTTTATGTAAAGCTGTAGTCGTGAGCGCATTATCATTGAAAAACGATTTAATTTCATTCTCAAAGGTGCACATCGGGAAGGAAGATTCTATCCAAAAAAGCTGAAGCGAAAATTTAAAAAAACTACCTAAGAAAGAAGAAAAATCTTTAAAAAACTGAAATTCTACCAAAAAAATTGAGCTGAAATGCTTCCCGTCTGGAAACACGGGGAGATGTCAGTCTCCGACGGGTTCCTCCCGGGCAATTTGCTCCCCGACTTATTTGGCGGGGAGCCTTCGTAGTTTTCTTCCCGCGGGGTCCCCCCTTCCCCCTCTGTCCAAAAAACTGCTCCCCGATGAACACTGGATGAGAGCATTTCAACGTTGAAAGAAGTTTAAATTTGTCAATCCGCAGGAAAATGAAAGGCATCAACTGTTTCGTACACACTCGACCGATCGACATTCCACATACAAAAGATGTTAGGCTTTATCGAAATTCCGACTCAGGTCAGTTATGCCCTTACATTATATTTTACATATTATGATGCTTTCACGCGACTAATCAGCTTTTATATAATTATGATGCTTTCACGCGATCAATCAGTCTCATAAGTGTTTTCGAAATAAGCAGCATCAAGATGCTGCTTATTTCGAAAACAGTCATGAGACTGATTGGAATATTTTCACAGAGAAGTTATATGTTTGAGACAACAAGTTGAGTATCAAGCAAGTGATCATAGAAACGCTTTCCATTTGCTCTCTTAATCATTCAACTCACACTAGCTTTCTTCTGCTATTGCTTGATATTTTGTTGTGCGTTCAACATCACGAAATAATTCAGTTAGCTCTACTCAGTACTATTTTTTCACTCTTATTATTTTATCAGTGATCGTCGTAGTAATGGTATTACTGTTGATAATAACAATAAAATTATTATTATGATTACTGATGTATTATAAATGCTCACAGTACCGTTAGATGAAGAATTCATTTAATGTTCCATCTTGTCAGTACCTAAATTCCTCACTCTATGCTTGACGAATGCTTGACATTGTTTCTTTGGAAAGCACTCATTAGTGATATTCTAGTTTTTTAGTTATTCTTATTTGCTTTGAGTGGAGCTATAACGTACGATTAGCCATCCATCCTAGTACAACACCTTCATCTGTCTGTCCATTCATACATTTATACATTCATGCATCCATCTATTTCGATTATGTTATAACTGAACAAGTAGATATCAGTCGTCGTTCTCGAATCACATCTCAGTAGTTTTTCGTTCGTGTTCTATCCATCACTTATTGCTTCTCCATCACTGTTTGCTCCAAAATGTTTAATCTGTTAATCAAAGGTGCCATAAGAAAACAAAGAATGATTTTTTGTATTAAAACTTGTTTATTTCATATTTACGCTCATTAATCTTTGTAAATGCAATCAATCAAAGAGCACAACGCATTATTTGTTCAGTATCAACGAGTTAAATTGGCATAATTTATTGTGCATGCTTATAAGTCTCAAGTAATCATCATTCAATTGTTCTTACACTATCAGAATTCTTGACCGTTTATTTCTGTTTTTAAAGCAAAGACTCATCATAATAGGCAATTGCTTGCACGCAGTCGAGCGATAGTAACTGGAGAGCAGTGGTGAAACCGATCCAAGAACGAATTAATATTCGTTTGGTTCATTTGAGTATCTTTAAGTTCAAATGATGAAATTGAATGTGCAACTTTTCCCTATTTACATACAACTTTTCTTCTCACTAGAGATTCTTTATTTAGAACTTTTCTTTATTCATCTTCTTTTCACTAATCAACCAATTTTAATAATATATTGCAGCAAAACAGCTAGCTTCATTCGTTTCGTTTCAGACTGCTTTGGTCTCTCTCTTCTCGCTTCATTATTATGATTATTATTATTATTGTCTTAATAATAATTATTGTTATTATTACTACTAATTAGTAATATTGATATTATCATTATCATCATTATTATTATCATTATTATCATCAGCATTACTATTGTCATTATTATTATTATCAATATGATATGTATAATTATTCTCCCTATTATCGTTCCATTAAGCATTGTCACTGATTGCTTTATATCAACTAACTAACTGAACTTTTAACTAATATATGCCACCAACTGTCACTATCAGTGAATGATTGAAGTTTCGATGATATGAAACTTGAAGTTGCTCCAGTGACACATTAGATGATTCATCATTTAGCGATCAGTGAACAACGTCTCTGAAATGCGTTTGAGTATGATAATTATGTGATAAAAGACAACCTTTTCAAGTGCACTGTTTTGTTGTGCTTCTAGTTGAGTAGTGAGATGTGATAAGAAAAGTTCAGTTGGGTGGAATTAATGAAAGAAACCATCAACTATGAAAAGAAAAGAATATGATTCAAGTCTAGTCAATGAATTTTATGGTCACAAGTATGTATTCGGATAGCGCAGAAAATAGGCTACAAAACGACGTATAACTCTAGATACAAAAACTCTACAATGAAACGCAATGCTTCATTATATCAGTTTGCCAGCGTAGCTGCCCGAGAACTTTCTACTAGACCTAATATTTTGGTTCTTCTTGGAATTGTTATAATCGTTATCGTCGTTCTCATGATTTAACGATGATGATCATCATCACCATCGTTATTTCGTTAGAAGATTAACCATTCTCTTTGAATTGTTGATATAAGCAAGCGCTCATTGATTTCTTCGAAGGCGAGAATTCGGCTTAATTGTGAATGAT